CAGAAGCTAATAGAATTTAACATTCAAACAAGACTCTTATTCAAATTCCAATTCGAACATCCAAATCTGTATACAAATTCAATCTGGTTCCAACTTGTGGCACTTCATTTGTTAGCAAAGGGTATGAAGGAATACCTGGAAATGAAAGTCAAAAGGGGGTGAGATCAGAAGTAAAAATAACAGCAATCACCAGCAGCAACAAAACAGTCCTAGTTTTAATCCAGCTATTAACCCCAGATAGTTCAATGAAACAATATATGGAAGATGGTTTCAGCCAATTCGAAATTGAAAACCAGAAAATAGAAATCAATGAAACAGTAAATTCCAGTTTTTTTTTCTAGTATTTTCAGAATGTTTTCTTGTCTCCCTCTCTCAGAATCTCTTCCAAGTTTTCTTAGCTCTCTGCCCCTGTATATCCAGTTTATCCGAAGTGTATATCGAGTGCATACCTCTCTCTCCGCCCCCTCTTTTCTTTTTCTCTCCGAATTTCCTAGTCTTCTACCCTCTTTTAATGTTCTCCCTCTCTATCTCCTTCAGAATTCCCCTCTTATAGGCACTCAATTAATGTCATCCCCATTACTAGTGTCCCTTCCTTTATTTTAATTATTCTCACTAACTTATTTTCTCTAAATTAATCAATTAGTGCAATTCCCATTATCATTTTCAGCTTTTTATTTCTTAATTGTCCACTTAAACTAGCTAGTGTATTTCTAACCCTACCACTATTGAGAAGCTTCTCAATTAGGTTAATACCCTTTTTATTAAACAATCCCCAATATTACCCTTAAGTTTATGTTTTTAACAATCTCTATGTTCTGAATTATTACAAACAATGCAATACTAAATTAAAAGAAAATCACACAATTTGACCAAAATACAAAATATTTTTTTTTTGCGAATTTTCATTTTTGTAAAACACCTAATTATTAATTAATTCCAAAAATGTAAAAATCAAATCTTAAATGCAAATGTTATATTTTTTGTATTTTTAATGCATTGATAAAAACTAAACATGCACACAAACATATGCAAACAATCAGAAAAATCACGCAACAATTCCTAAAAATAACAAATAATCAAAGCCAAAACCAAATTTTGGGAATTATTTTGGAGTAATTCGTATGAGGCAAAAATCACGTGCTCACACACTTCCCTTACCCAGCGGTCCTTAACCGGAGTACCCAAATTCTTGGAATATCCTCTAGAGTATTCCTCTGAAATGTGTAAGTGTCGAACTAGCCGTTCGAGCCGAACTGAGTGCTCGACCTCGACCGTAGCTGAATCATTCGCTAATATATCACTTCCTCTACGTGACTTGGCTTGGTTGACTCTTGGTCGCTCTCCCTTAAGTAGAATTCCTTTGATCAAATTTTGACCTATACAACGACCACACCAAATCGGATATTCCATAAATTGGCATATTTTATTGTTACATAACGACGGATTTAACAATACGATACAATAAAATTTAAGTAAAAACCAACAAACACTGCATAAACTAACAATACAATACAATAAGCAAGAATCATTTAAAAATTGTCAGTGTCGGTCTCCCCAGTGACTTATAATATTTTATTTACTAACCACTAAATCACACACGGATGGGCATTAGCCTATAGAGGAAAAAGTGGTTCTAAGATTTAATCATCAACACAAAGTAGTTGGAGTAATTAAAGATCTTTTATCAGTATGACTATACGAGCAGCAATATTAATTCCTGATTTGAGTTTTCACCTTGAAGGTCTCCCTAGTGCACTTCCATTATTCACTAGAGGCTTGTTATATTCTGCAAATGAGAGTCAAATTATCATGTTCATTTGTGTTGATCATGTCCAAATACAGTTGAGAAAATAATTAACAAACACCTTTTTTTGTTGCAACAATCATTAGCATATGTACATGCAACCATATCGGATGCAGGATTTTCGCTAAGGGAATTCAAAAAAAAAAAAAGTTAAATAATTAAAAGAGATTGTGGCCAATGAAAACTGAACCATTAACCTAACAAAGATTTTGAACTCCCTTGACCACTAAACTATGATTTTGGACTATATCAAGGGAATTCAAAATATAATACATAGAGGTACAAACCGAATTTTACCTTATATGTACCGTGGGCGAAAAGGGTTCCCCCAAAATCCGCCCCTGCATATAGGTGAGTTACAGGGTATCAACAGACGAGAAACTCTCCCATCTGCATTTAGTTATTGATCAGATCCTTCCCACGGATAGTGTCTTATCATACACAGCCATCAAACGCCTGATTCAGGCTTTTTCTCAAAGGCAGATACGACTAAATTAGCTTTGGAAAATGTTGAAACTCAATACATTATGAAACAAACTCGCTATCAGATATAAAGACATATGCTATGCTACAGGTAGCTAGCAAACTAAGACACAAAAACACCTAAAACACCTTCAGTTAAACTGCCTAAAAGTTTTGCATCAGGACCAAGGACCAACTTGAGTCGACATAATATACCCGTCACTGGAAATCGGACTGAAAGAACCTTACATTAGGATAAGATTCATATCCTTCCTCTCTTCCGCTTTGACGTTGAAAAGTTACAGCTGCAGCAACGACTGCTGCAATTCCAAACCCTGCTATGGCCCGAACAGCATTATGCAATATTACAATTTCACCAGTCTGCAGAAGCAAGGAACGTAAGTTTAGGATCTATGAAACTTGAGAATAAAATGAATGTCAGAAAAATAAATTGTTACTTTTGGATGTAATTAACATGAACGAAGATCTTACACTGTCTGTAGAATGCAGAATAGAACGCGGCTTATGCGGCGGTTCAGCAACCAAAATATAGAAGAGGCCCATAACTCCTGTATGCCTTTGGGCACTGCTATACTTTGATACTAAAGTCAGAGTTTCTCCATTAGATATCTTGACAGAGCCAGGCTTCGGATAACAAGTGGACATCCCAACAATATAACCAGCTTCATTTCCTGGTTCCTTTCCTTCCCCATAGATTGGAAGTGACGAGCAAATAACCCGTCCATCCTAAACAAATAGAGCAGAGAACAAAAAAGAAGTTATCATTCGCACATGCTTTCCTTTGCAGTACTGAAACAATCACAAGAACATCAAGACAAACTCAAAAAAGATATGTGACACATCATTATCTTTAGCCTTCTTCGCTAACTGTAGTACTAAAACAATATTGTGAAACATCAGTAAGCATATATACCATACTTAGCGGAAGTAGGGAGGAAACAGTGCTGCATAATTTCCGTAAAAAGTTACTACAGATCAATGAAAATAGTCATACAATTTCCCCAGCCATTTAAGAGGAAAGCAAGCAATGGTTTTACCATCTCGAGGTTTTAGATAACAATTGCAGTCAACAAAATCATCACCTCAAAAGTTTGACAAACTTGTTCTGTAACATAAACAAGCAGAGTTATTGAATTATTTTTATCACCTAAATACATTTGAAGCAGGAACTGTTGACGTTGTGAAGCATGCTTAGATAGAGTCCATCAAATTTACATGCATCATTGAGAAAGAATTTATCTAACGTGAATCAAGTAGAAATGCGGAGAGTCGTGCAAGAAACTAGATCCTAAGCTGACAGGACCAAAGAAACAAATTCTAACATCTCAAAGTACCTCGCCATGGAGAGTTGAACCAGTCCCACTGAAATGCTGATGAGCAACTCCATAAATAACATCTCCACCATTCGGCAAAGTCACACTTATCTTTTTCTTATGCACGCATCCAGCATTAGCAACAGCACTAGCACATGACTCAACATCATACTCAATCTGTATCAGAAAAGTTCAACAAAATTATCAGCCGCAAATACTTGGGGAACACGGAACAAAAGCAACTATGTAACTTTATAACTCAGATTACCAGCATTTCTACATTCATATTGGATAATCCCGAAAACTCAATAATACATGAACATAATTGCATAAATGCGAAGGTCCACATGAATCTTTCCTGGTATCCTTCGATTCTTATCTACCAAAGTTCAAATAATAGAACTCTGTTTTTCCTTTCATGCTGAAGACACTTTCTAACAGAAACCACCAGAAATGCTCCACAGATATTATAAAGATGATCATATCATCGACCCCAACTATCTTGGGATTGAGGCACAGTTGATTGATTGACTGAAAATGACACACAAATCGGAAATGTTCATCACCTGACAGTGATGTCTTGACATAAGTCCTGTTGATTCTGGCTTTCTCCATGTATCAGTAACATCAAGTATATAAATTTTAACAGGAATAAAAGAGGCATCCCAATCAACATATTTGATCGTGTACTTCAGGTACAAGCTTCTCTTATGACCCTGAAACCCTTTTTCAACTCTGCATCTTGTTTCATCATAACAACATCTCAAGCCTCCAATATAATCTGGTCCTATATCCCGGTTATACTCATCCTTTGTAACATTATAAAGATCACACCTGCATTCTGTGCATCCTAGCCTATCTTCAGAACCTCGTGTATCAATCGCATGCACATTAAGCAACCATCTCTCCTCATATCCAGGAGGTACTTCTCCTAGGTTACCAATTTCTATCCCATAAGGGTCTGGAACATATGTTTCTGTTCTACGAGTTTCAGACCCGAGGCCAAAATATTGATACAGATCCCCTTCGCACATCCCTGAGTTACTCGCTATAATAAAATCCGATTTTTGGAACCTCAGATCGCCATGGTACTTTGTTACCTTCGCACCTTTTCGTTGATAATATCTTACAACAAGCCAGTGGTGGAGATATGTTTCATGAAGAGGGACAGGATTCAGTGCCTCATCAACTACTTCAGCATTAAAACTTTTGATAGCAATATGGCCTTTTGGGAAAGCTATGTTGTAGTAAAATTTGTTACAGACTGATCCTGGTTCCAACACAAATTTTGGTGATCGGAAAATGGACGTTTTCACCTTGATTTCATTTCTTAGTCGAGTCTGTAAACTTGGGCTAATCGCTATTAGCAGTAGGACTGCCAGCACAAGCAGCTGACACTTTAATTTGCGCGTCATCTTTTTCTCGTTCCCAATTCAGTTCTTGTTAGGATATCTGACAACTGCACTATTTCAACATGTTAACAATCCATGGGTTTAAGTTGTAGAAGTTTAACTTTGTCATCTAACAATAGTAGTTCCTACGCAGATTACTCGATTCACAGACGGTTGGTCTGTTATATTGTTACCGCAGACAAAAAGATATCAGGTGATGCTACGGATAGACAAAGGGTGTCTTGGTATGAGATATGTCCAATGTTTGATACTCTGAATTGTGGAAATATTTCTACAAGGAAAATGTTCTGCACCAATATAGTCATTTTCAATAACAACAACATACCCAGAATATTCACGCAAGCGGGGTCTGAGGAGATAGTGTACGCAAACCTTGCCCCTACCTTGTGAAGGTAGAGATGTTGTTTCTGATAGACACTCGGCTGGAAAAAAAAAAGCATAATCGCAGCAGTTTAGATAAGGAAATACGACAAAGGAGAATTCAGGCAAAGAGAAGCAGTAACTACAGCTAGAAGAAGAAAAAACCAAAGCAAAAGAAACAACCGGTAATATTAGAAATCTAAGAATAGAAAATACCTAGTACTACAGGTATAGAAAATACAGCTACGAAAAAGAATTACGCTCGACTACTTACTAACCTACTACCTTAATCCTCGATCTCCGACCCTCTTATCAAGGGTCATATTTTTGGCAAGCTGAAGATGTGTCATGTCCTTCCTAATCACCCCCAATACTTCTTCGATCTACCTCTATCTCTGCTTCAGCTCCACCATGGCCAACCTGTCACACCTAGTCATTAGGGCATGTGTGCATCTCCTCGTCAAATGCATGAACCATCTCACCCTCGCTCCCGCATCTTGTCCACCACGGAGGCCATTTCCACCTTGTCCCAAATGTCTTCATTCCTAATCATCTCTTTCCTAGTATGCCCACAGATTCATCTCAGCATCCTCATTTCTGCTACTTTCATCTCCTGAGCATGAGGGTAGTCATTTTCCTTTTACAAATAGTTCCACCCTTACTCCGTATCACTTGCTAGGCATAATTATCCATTTTTAATACTTCAAGATAATACTATCAAAGCAATATCATCGTAGCCTACCCTCTAGCTTATACAATTACTATGTGTCACCTACAACCCAAAACTTGGAAAATGATAGTAGTAATAATAAAAATGATCTACTAAAGGTAAAAGTTTTCCACACAAAAGTATTTTTCATCCATACCAACCGCATCAAAAGGGAAACGTAACAACATGAAAGATAAATTTGTTTAGCATGATACTCATATTTCTTTATCCAAGCATACAAAAAGAGAAACTAACCTGATATGGTATTTAGGGTAAAGAATCCCAAACGGACGAGCTTTTCTCAATCGAAAGTCGAAATTAGAAATTTTGAACTTCGATTTTTTAAGGAGATGTGGAGAGTAGAGACCGCAACAACAGAACTACATTCCTAGGATATCAACACAGGTGTTCATAGGAAGACACGTGTCAGTTGCAAACAGCCCTGGGGCTAGTGACAGTTTCCAAGTCTTAACGGCAAAGGAAGAAAACAAAACATAGACAAATACAATGTATTGTCGCTCCACAACTTCAATTTTATCCCTTTTGTCTCAAAAATGTTAATAGTGTTACAAATATGTATATTATGAATGTTCATCCAGTACACCGTTGTAAATAAGTTTTTTGAATAGGTTTATGTTAGGAGTACATTAGATATGTCCTAGATCCAATATCATATTTGATGATTTGAACATATTTTTTGTGAACGTTATTTGATATAAAATATATGGCATTTGATATTCTTTTATCATTATTATTAATTATTTGATTAATTTGATAAGGTCCTTGATTAAATTTTGAGATTTGTCATCGTGATAGAGATCATGATAATGAGAGCAAAGTCTCTTACAATTTAATCTAAATTTGTTCTTGATCGTAAGATTATTAACTTGGACATTAGTGATCCGATTAGATCAATATTTATGTGATCGTCTTTATGAGATAAAGATGAGTTGATCTCATTAACTAAATTACATAGATAGATGATGCATATAGAGATATGATCATTTAACAGACTCATTGGATAATTCCTAATGGTTAGAATTATCATAAACTGTCAATACGATATTCTCTTGAAGAATGTGATGTAACAGTTTCCTTTGACCTGAGATCGTCATAGTAATTGACAAGTTATTTATTGTGCTTTGATACCAGACACCTATGGCCCTAGGGCGATAGTTGAAAGGATATTGGGCATGATTAAATGCTTGTAAAATTAGTGATTGATCAAGATGGAATCTGTTAACTCTTGGTAATGAGTTTAAGCTCCATGTTGTCATGAATTATAAACGACCAAATTAAGACCTTGGTCGGGGCAATTGAATGAAAGAAGAAAAGAGTTTTTAGGTCATTCAATGGTCGATTATATTTGACATGAACACATAGTTGGTCGCCTATTAGGATTTGACAGTGGAACCATATCCTAGGGTGATCCAGAGCTATAAGGACAGAAAGAATTACTACATTATTCTTCTACTGGTTCTTGAGAGTAAATTGTATACTTTATGTTATCCGGTCGTTAAGGAGTGTTGTTAGACGCCACCCTTGATTAGTATATTGATGTGGTCAATTTACTACCGTTTAGTATTGAACCTATGGGGTCGCACACTAACGAGTGTCTTGATCTTTGCTAAAGGATTAATTATTTTGGTGTTTGATAATTAAATTAAAGAATTTAATTAGTCAAATAAATTAAAATATTAGTCCAAATGAAATATTATTATATTCTTTGCTAGCACATAGGATATAATTAATATTGTAAACAAATTAAAGTTTTCTAGTTGGAAGAGAAAATTAAATCATTTTTCTTGATTGAAATATATGTGATATATATAATATCAATTAATATTGATTTGTATAAAGGTTATATATATAATATTAATTTGTTCATAGCAACTTGGAATTGGAGATAAAAGTGCATAAAAGGACTTGTGGGAAGAGTAATCCAATTTGGAAATGGACTTTACATAAACGTCCATAAAGGACGTGTCTGACAACTTCAAACCCATTCCATGGGTTTCATATCGTCCTATTTTCAATAGGAAATTGAAATTGGACTTTATGGAAAGTCTTTAAGATTCGGCGGCCACATTACCTATTGAGAATGGGTTTTCGATTTTTTCATAAAAAATTCATGAAGTTTATTTTGGAATAAATTTTTATCCTAAGTAAATCATTACCTCAACCAAATAGGAAAAAAGTTTGTAGGTGACCCTATATAAAGGGTGATGAAGAAAATTTGCCGCATAATTTTTCTTGAGAAGAAAATCCATTTTGTGAAAGTGAGAGTGCACTACAAAGCCAAGAGAGAAAATACAATTACAATAAAAGTGTTTCTTGTTCTTCTAATTTGAGTTGAGATTTTTGAGAAAAATTTCAACACAATATTCTTCGTTCAATTTGTTTGCGTGTTTCATTGTTCAAAGAGTTGATAGCAAGGATCAATCTCGGTGTGGATACACATAGAGTCTTCACACTATCGAAGAATTTGAAACAAGACTTTCTTCACCAGGTACGTCTTAGATCTGATCTATTGACATGTAAATAAATTTTAAACACGAAAAGATCTGCCTAGGATTGTTATTGTCTTCCGCTGCGTGTTACGAACACTTATACGCAATCCATCAGTTTATTCATATGGGACTCCGCCGTAAATATGTTTATCTATTTAAAATTCTATTAGAAATAAGTCTCCTGACGAAGCTTATATTTTCGATACTCCGTTATGGATAAACATTACCCACAGTAGAAGATTATCCATACCTAGTACAATAAGCATATCCTTCCGGTATTCCATTATAGACAAACATTACCACCGGTAGAAGATTATCCCTGTTGTAAGCACGTGATTTTTGCCCTATATGAGAATTACTCCCAAAAAATTCAAAAAATAAA